GTGGCCACTCCAGCACAGAGAGGTCTGTACCCAGCTTTCAGTGTCATCTAGGCCACCACTAATGTTTCCAACAATCGAGACTAATGTCCAAGACTAATTTCTTGATGTACAAGTAGAGACTGCAGATGTATTGTTTCTGTGTTTCTTTTGTCTTCAGGACATACCTGGATACTGCAGCACTCCCAGACGGCACTGATACCATTAACAGCTGATGGTGTTTAGTCATCACTACTTCAAATCCTGCTTTTAGCAGATTTACGTCAATCTGTGAGTGGGCCAGCGCTGCTGCTTTCTCCTTCCCACATGCCCCCATGGCCAGACAAGGGCACAGGATCTCCACACGTTTACTCTGTGCGACAGCATGATCAGGCAGGACTGCAGCAAACCCTCTAGAAAACATGCCCAAATGGTGCCCAACCTCTCCATCTTCTGGCCTGGTCCCTCACCTTCTAGCCAAATCGAGCAAAACATCCAGCAGTAACACACCCTATGTACCTTCAGGCACACCCCAAATGCTCTCTTCTCCTCCCAGGACCGTGAACTGTTAAGTGCCGCTTCTCCTTGTCCAGCAGAAAACAGGCCAGTAGCACACAGCAGCCCTCCATCCGGCCACGGGAGATGAGAAAGTGGGGGGATTTTGGCAGACAATTCCCAATTCACTTTTCAATTTTGTTTCCCACTTTTTCAACATTTATTGATCTTATGATGTTATATAATCCATTATTAACTTGCTATCTGGGCAATGTCCAACTAAAATCTAGTCTGACGTTTATTTGAGTAAACACTCCAGTTTCACATGGACGATGTTTTGCGTTCAGGCACAGATAATCAAGGGTCAGTGACCTCCAGGACTGTTGATTTTTTTGCCAGATATTATCAAGCCTTTATCTCTGAATACAGTTGAGGCTTTATGAATGCAAAAAATGGGGGCAGTAACATTCAAAGGGTGCAGAATAAGATGTGCTGCCTTATTTATGCATACATTAGCTATGCATTTGTTTAGATTTTTCAGCTACACTTCTCCAACACTCATCCTTGGCCAATCAAAAATATTTAAAAAGCAAGGCCCAGTCATCAATGTTCTCAAGATGGGCTTAAAAATGAAGGTTTTTATAAAATAAGTTAATTATTAATTTTATTTGTCTGACTTCAGAACCTGCCCATTGTACACACTTATGGTTAAACATTTTCTTCTGCGTCTCTGAGATTATACATGGTAAGCAGCTGCATTCACAACAGACATATATTATTTTGATTTTAATAGCAGATTTTAAAGACCTCCCACTAGATATAATCATAAATACTACACAATCACAGCAGTTGCCAGTACTTCCCTTATGTTAACCTACTACAACTTGTAAGCATGAGTTAAAGCTTGAATGTTAAGAACAGTAAAATGCCACAAGCCCTGAAAAAAGTCAAATCCCCTGGAACTTCCTCTGACCCCACTCTTAACATCAACTTCTTAACCCCACCTTTTCCCCAGCCCCTCAAGCCCCTCAGCAAACAGGTCAGTCTTGCAACATATCCTTAAGGTCATCAACTTACTATTAAGGTGTTTTTTTTCTATAAAGCAATTTGCAGCCAAAGTCACTGTGACAAGACAAGGAACACCAACACCCTTTTTATTCCCTGTGTTAGTTCATAAGCCTCCTCAGTGACGACACTTTTGCAACTGCATTGCCTCAACCTGCTCACTTGTCAGCTGTCTCCTCCAAACAGCTTTTGAACTTAAGGTCTGTTTGAATAAATTTGATAGACAAGGATAATGAAGCTTCTAAAAGTTTGATAAAAAAGCTGGTGACTGGTAAAGAAAAATAAGCTGCAGGGAGGGAAGGGAAGGTACAGCTGCGGCTGCTGCTTTGAAGACCATAACCAAACAAATTTCTATAACATGGCAATTGCATCAGAGGGCGTCCTGTTTACACCCAGCAGATAAAAACAAGACATGAATGAAGATATTACACATTTACATGTTTTTCCATCATCCTCAGAGGCATTTCTGTTAAATGTGAAGCTACCCCCAAAACTGCAAAACTTTTTCTTTCTTTGTTGCACCAAGGTGTACAATCAGGCCATCCTGCTCTGAAGCTATTAGGCATCACAGACTGAAAAAAAAAGTAAAGAGAAGCTGTCAAAGGGTTCTCCTACAAGCAGTTGGAGCCACAGGTGTCTTTGCTAGCTGTACTCTTACTTAGGAGCAGAAACAACAGGGGCTGCAGAGCAGCACAAGCTACAAGATGGACAAGACATCTGATACCCTGTTTTTCAAGTGGGGAAGCTAAGAAATTTTTTAGTGTTTCCTCCCAGATTTATGGAGAGAGGTTTAGAGTGGGCGTTTATTACCAACTCCTTAAAGTTTGAATGTAGGTAATCTCTTACTGTTGCAAGTCAAGCCTTGGTAAAAGTCATAGGGACAAACAAGCTTTTGAGAAGCTAGTCAAGAGAAATGCCATGTTTGAATAAATATTCCTATTCCTGGCAGCAATCTGCTCATAGAATAGTTTAATTAAAAGAACACATAAAACTTACAAGCAATAAATGTAACAACAAAATAAGTATTAAAAAAGATATCAAACTGGATGAGAAATTATAAAAATACATTATACTGACTCAAGTACAACCAATATTTGACTAACTGCTCTGACTGTGCCTGGAGTGCTTGTCCATGCTGTATTTTAATAACAGAGTCCAATCCTTCTTTTCCAAAGAAATCAAGGACAAAACTCTACAGTGGGAACAGGACCTTACCTTTACTTCTGCAGTCAATTTTGCAGGAATTGTACATTTTCTACCATTTATTCATAGTGTTTCGGTTTCACACATAAAAAATACATAAGCCACCGTCAAGAAAATTATCGGTGTCACAATGAACAGCAGAACAAAAGGAGAAAAAAAGGAACAAACAATCTGCAAACAATAGATGACTAAGGGAATTATGTTATAAATCACCTAATCTGATGCCTTTCTTCAATATGACTGCCCATTTGAAAAATTAAACAGTATTGTAAATAATGAATGGGGGTGTGATTTGGAACAGAGCAATGATGTGAATATTATTTTTACCTGATGAGACGTATTTCAAATGTCTTTCATTACTTACACAACATGTATTTCACCACTTCTTTTCAATCTAACAGAAAAAATTCGTAATTATTCTAATGAAACATTATAACAACATAAACAAAAGAAATGCCCTGCCATATCAGAACAGTGGCTCATCCAGCCCAGTATTCATCTCTCACAGTGGCGAAAGACAGTTGTGGTTAGGAGAAAAATATGACCTGCCCCCTTTCTGCAAGCCATTCCCCTTGTACTTTTCCAGTACCCAGAATCACTGTACTAGGGATTTAAAAGAATCATCTGCTTAGTCCTTCGAGTACCCACTTAAGGACCTGCTGCCCATGAACTCTTCTGAGCCATTTCTGACCCTGCTGTTACTGTCTGCCTCCACATCTTTCTGCAGCAACAAGCTCCAGAAGTTCACTCCCCATTGTGCTGGGACTATATTTATCCATTTAAAACTGATTCACACCGGTTTTGAGTGCTCCCAGTTCTATTACTGTCAGATTCTCTGTTTAGACTATCTACTACTAGAGAATTGTTAAGTGTGCCCTGAACTAACTATAAAACAAAGCCACTGCTTCAGCTTTATGCATTTTAAAATGTGATTTCTTAGACACCAGACATGTAAAAAGTTAGATTTTTTTTTTTTAATAAGGATTAATGACATCAGGTAAGGGTTAAGGACAATTACCCATTCTATTTCCTGATGTTTCTCACACAAATAAGTCAAAGAAAAACTTTGAAGTCAAACATGTAAACGCAAGTCAATTAAGACAATTATATAGCCAGCAGCTTTTGCTATGAGAAGATGATCCAACCCTTCACACCAGGTAGGATTTGGAAAATTTCTCATCTGAAACTGACCTTGTCATTTTGGACTCACATTGAATTTTTGTATTTTCTTATTCAGAGTTTGAATTTTGTATTCAAACCAGCCTCTCCATAAAAAGCAATTACTGCCCTTTAAGAATGCCTTAAACTATCCTGAAAAAAAAGATTTTGAATACAATGAGAGAATAACTTCTCCTTTCTGCTTAGCAGAGGATATTGGCATATCCTGTGAAAGGTATGAATCTTAGTATGTACAGAATTATTTTAATAAATACAAAAAAATTACCAGCAATTCTCTGAAGCAGTCTATGAAGGCTACCACAGGCAAAGAGCACATATAACTGCTCAGACTGAGAATGCAAAGGCAGCTTTATGTCACTTCATGCCAAGCCTAGATTACATCGGTATTAAGCCACTCAGTCCCATTCTGTGTACCAGTCTGAAATGACGTAAAGCTGACAGAATTCTGCTCTAAACTTTATCAAGCTGGAAGAGTGGCAGGTACATTACACAGAAGTTAAGGACCACCAGCTTGCAAGTGCACCTTGAGCTACATCCCTTTTCCAAATCGGAGTGATCTCCTTGTTTCCCTTCCATTAGTTCTCTGCTAGGTAAGGATCTTTAAAAACAGGGATATGGATGTAGCCATCATTTGACCACAAATATTTCAGCATATTTTCAGCCCAACCATTTTTACAGTAAACAGAAAACCAAGACTGCATAATGCCTGCAGACATAAACTGGACCTGCTAAATGGCAGGCTCAGCAGCACGCTGTCAGAAGCTAAGGATTTTCATAGTAAAACACTATTGCACAACGCCTGCTTAAAGAATCGCAAACATAGCCCCTTTGATGGGTAGTCCAGAGAATATTATAAGACCTACTTTGCTCAAAATCTGCCCAATCACTATATAATCATTTACTTGCTGTTTGCAAATGTTAATCCAGGGTCAAGGTAATGGCCCTCTGACACAATGCTTAAATTTGTATAAAACCATACCCTTTTAGCATTCATTTATATCTTCGGTGGACTACTGTGATTTAAAAGCAGACGACTGGCTTTTTCAGAGCATGGGAAGAAGTGGCCTAACACCACAAACAAAATGCTCCTTCTAGCTTCAGCTTTTTTTCTAGCACTACTGCAGTGCTCTAATGCCCAAAACAAAACAAGCATTACACCTGCAGACTGTAATACCATTGAAACATATGCAGGAGTGGCCCTGGATTTGGTCAACAAACATCGCAGAGATGGCTATGTTTTTGGTTTATTCCGTATTGCTGACGCACACGAACTACATACAGTAAGTATCAATTTAAAGGCTGATTTACACAAGACTGTGATTTTAAAATAATGAGACAGATCATTAAAAGCTTATGTTTATTGCTTTTAACAGAGCAATATTGATGTAATTCAATGAATCAACTCTGATTTACACTATCTCAGTGTTCATTTGGGTATGATTTATTGTATAAAAGCTTGACTTTGAACGATGCTGAATGCCCTCTATTCTTTTGGCTGACGGGATGTTAGCATAAGAGACGCTCTGAACAGCCTTATACAACACCGGAAATCAATCTGTCCTGTCTGTTGTCAGATCTCAGATGTTATGTTCAAAATTTATATTTGGACGCTTTCTTTAATCTGCAAATGCCTAACATTAATTAGATCAATGTATTCTGCAAGATCGCTATTTTGTTATTATCTTAATTTTGGAGACAGCTGGATAACTGGAAGGAAGGGAAAAAGGCAGAGGAAGCCAAAGGAGATGAAAATGCCACTCTGCAACAGGGGAGCAGCTGGAGAGAGAATCCATATCGGTCATTTCCTATTTCCCTCCTATTTCTCTTTCTGTTTTCTAGAGAGGATACATAAGCCTTTCTCAATGACTGCCTAAATGCCAAAGGAAATCAATAGCAGAAAAAGCAATAGAATACAAAATTTCTTTAACTAGTAGATAGAAGAGGCCAGGGACATGCAGATTTACTAATGCACCTGGTTACCTTTTAGCTGCTTGGCTATGAAACTAGAATAGAGGCACACACGCACTGTTTAAGAAGTGTATTGCACATCTCAGTATGGCATCAGGCTAGTTTTTGATGGAGCTGCTGAAGACAGCCTGTTAGGAAAGAAAAAGCTCAGAAGGTGACCCAAAGCCCAGATTCCCACACATCTTCAGGTATACTTTCCAAAAACCTGATGGATTATTTTGCTTTTCAAAGACAAGGACGTAGCAAATGATCCTACTGGGTTTTACGCAATAGCCAGGTAGTTAAAGAGTTCATCTAGGGAGCAATCAGTCTTCTTCAGGATTAAGAGATATAAACCCTCAAGTCTCCTGTCCTTAAAGAACGCTGCTGCCAGGGAGCATGTCTGTGCCACCCCTGTGAAGTGGAGCCATGGGGCAGTAAGACATGCAAAATTAATTGGATGAATGAGGAAAATCATAGTTGTCTCTGAAGAGAAAAATCTCACTGCTTCTACATTTTAAACAATTATTGACTATAGAAACTATAGAACCACAACTTGGAATAGGGACCAGAGCTGAGGATCCATACTTCTAGATGAATGCTACAACCACTAGACTGCCAGGCTTATCTTTTTCTTTGTACCCCTAATGAACATTGCTGTCTTTGCAGTCCAGGGCCACAGCTTCAGCTACCACACAGAGTCTACAAGAACAGAAAAAACCCTTCTATCTATCTTACTGCTAAAGAATTCTTCCTGTAAGGTCTCTGTACCTTCTCAGAGCCAAAGCCCCCAGGTGTGATCTCCTGCACACTGAACACGTATACTATTGTGTAAGAAGTTATGTTGGCTCCACTGCCAAGATGACATTAAAAAAAAATTAAAAAAAAAAAAAGACCAGAACAATATTTTTATTATCTCCATACAATAGTGTGCATCAACTCTATCACATCAACCTCCTTAGAAACTTAAGGGTTTACGTGGGAGTTCTGGAAGTGTAAGATACTCAGGCATTCGCACGAGAACAGTTCTGGGATTCAATGCAGAACGTTGGTGTCCAAGATGCTTTTAAAAGAACCAAGAAGGCACCATGTGAGATAATTTTTTTTTTCCAAGAGCTATCCAGCAGATTAACAGAGGAACTTTCTACTGCATATTTGGATGTAGATACTTAATTTCAACCAAGCTCTGCTTTAGGCTTTACTGAATCCAAATGCATCCTGCAGTAGAAAATTAATATTTGCTTAGGATGAATTGGTTTCCTTAGCATTTCATAAGTTTGGATGACAAAGTGAATGTATTTAGTCATTTCAGTTTTAGAGGGCTCCTAGTGAACTGCACATTTTACAAAAGACTATCTTACCTACATCACCTTTGCATTCAGTGCAATTCCATAAATACAAAACAGAAAAAAAAAAACTTTCTCACTGTCTCTGTTCTCTTCTTTGTCTGCATTTTACTATTATGTTGACTAGCAGCTTGAAATTATTGAGATTTATAAAATAAAATAGAAATACTAATCGCTCCCAAGCAGAAAATAATCATGTGGTTAGTGGGCAGGATGGATGTCCAGGACAATTATATTCTTTTATGGATTCTGCTATTGAAAAACATGTGCCATTGTGCAAATCACCTAGTCCTTATTTTAAAAATATGCTGACATATGCATACTGCAAAACTAGTGTTTAACATGACACTGGTGGACTCTCACTAATAAAAACATTACACTAGACTGCAGTATTTCTTTCTCAAGGATCTTGTCTATACAGAAACACTCTGAAAAAGGAGTCTGAATGGATGAAATTTCATAAAACCTGAGGACACTCATTCACAGTGAAGGGTTTTGCATCATTTTATCTAAATAACAAAATAAAATACATCTGTGTTCATTCTGAATGCCCATACATGGGTTGCATGAAGTTTAAATAATACATTCCAAATGTGAATTGAGATTCATTTTCCTGCAGAAAAATAAAAAAAAACCTGCTTCTGTGGGCCACAGATGATTCTTAACACCACATCCCATTACACTGGGAGCCAAATTCAAACTCTGATTCTCCATGCTATTGGCTCAGGATATAGAACATACTAGAAGAATTTCAGAGCTAAGGCTCCTGACTTTGTAGGTATTACTACAGCTTTGTTGCATCACTCCCTGAATAAACTGAGCGGGAAGCAAAGTCCCGAAAGAATACGTGGTCACTAAGGTCATTAGGAATGGATGTAGCTATGCAACTGGCTGCCTAGACAACTGATTTCCTAACAGACCAGTACGTTCCATGTGAAAATCAGAAAGAAGGAATGGCAAATTTTTAACATCGGCATTTTCCTGGCTTGGTGGATGCCAGGTTAACAACAGACTCTTCTCACAGGTTCTCAGCAAAAGGATAAAAGGCAACAGTTGTAAGCTGCAGGAAGGGAAGTTCTGACTTAGATGTAAGGCCAAAAAAAAATATCATGGAGAAAGTGGTTAAGTACTGGAACGGCCCAGAGAGGTTGTGGAACATCTGTCTCGGTGATATATAGAACTCAGCTGAATCCAACTTGGAAGCTAGCTTTGCCTTGAGCTAACGGCTTGTCAAAATAGCCTCCAACAGTCCCTTCTAGTCTGAACCCTTTCTGTGACTGTCAGCTCAGAAGAACCTTAATAGGAAACTGGGGAAGCTACATTAAAGATTAAACCTTTCAACTTCAACCTTCAACTGAATCAAACTTCAAAACTCCAACAGTCCCTTCTAGTCTGAACCCTTTCTGTGACTGTCAGCTCAGAAGAACCTTAATAGGAAACTGGGGAAGCTACATTAAAGATTAAACCTATCTACTTCAAAAAAAGTTCCTTTCATACCAAACTTATCGTATACAAACTCTTTTTTACCTGCACTTCTCTTCCAGGGAAATAGATCAGTCCTCTACTTAACTCTGGATGTGCTGGAAACTGAATGCTCTGTGTTATCCAGAAGACACTGGGAGTCTTGTGAATACAGTGACGCCTATTCCATGGCAAGTAACGGCATCCAGGCAGAATCATATGTCAATGATGCATTAACTTGATCTTCACCTGAACTGCCCAGAAATTTCTGAGTCACAAAATCTCTCAGTGAAGACTAGGCTTTAATATGGCTCACTATAAAATAAAATCTATTGAATTCTAGAGTTGTTAAACATAACCAAAGGACTTGGAAAAGGGTTGGCTCCTTAAATAAGTGCAGCTTTATTTAACTAGTTGTCTCAAAGGAGCTATACTCCGCTTTCCACTGCTGGTACCAGTACTGATGCTTTAACAATAATTTGCTGACATCTAAAGGGCACTAGAAATTATTTTTTAAAGCATGTTCCTAGTATTTTAATCAGAAATACCTGTGTTATATTCTGTCAGTTTTCTGTCATTGTGTTTGTGGCATGACAATGTGAAATATTGGCAGTGTCAGTACATATACCACACGTAGCAATACTTGTCCTTTATTGCTGCAGTCCAATGATGCAGTGTGGGATGAGAGCTACCAGTCCAAAACTTTATTTAAATAGGAGAGTGGTGATACCACCACACAGGACTAAGCTGGAAGGCCATGAGGAGGAAAGAGAAGGCATTTACTCCTTTTATTAAGATGGGGGAAAAGAATGGAAGAAAAGGTCCATCCACTTTTTGATGAAGACTTATGTAACCTTCAGTATCTCTGGCATCCTAACTTCCCCTGCCAGCTACCATTATCCTACTGTAAATAAGTATTAGAATGACTAAGAAGGCTGGTTTAGTTTTCCATTGTCTACTCTGTCCTGCACACTGAGAATTAAAATAAAGGCTCTTGTAGAGGGAGATCCCATTTTATCTGAACACAAATTTTGAGCGGTACCAGATCAAACATTCCACTAATGACCACATCTGTTATTCTTAGAAGAACTGTACATTAAAAGGAGGCATAATTTCTATGATCACCTACATCCAATTAAATCCAATGAAAATAACATCATAATCACATTTCTCTTTTTCCTCTCAGGACTTTGGGCAATGTAAGATTATTACATACACAAGCCAGCTGCTGAAGAACCCTCAACTGTATGGATTTAATTGTACATTAAGTCCAGGTAAAATAACCACTGTTGTAAGCCAATGCATACCCCAAACCAGCCCCAGCGCCAAAGTACAAGTCTGCATACTACTAGTATGGTAACTGTAACAGATTCATTCATCTGCTTGCAATTCATATTTCAGATAATTCAAATGGAATGTTAAGAATGAGTAATAGAATTAAGGTTACGCTACACTTCTAAAGCAGACTTTATTAATGTCAGATGATATCACCATTCCAACCCACCAAAACAGGATAACGAATATCAGGAAAAAAGTAAACTTGGAAAGAATACCCATTTGGGGTGGTAAGATTCTCAGGCAGAGCTAAGAGATTTAATTTTCACAGGTTTGGGGTGTTTTTCACATTACAGGGCAAACCCATATCTGCAAAGTGAGGGATAGGTATTCCACTTCCAAGGAAATTTCAGTTTCTCATTATGAGTTCACATTAAGGGCACATGCACACTTCCAAGAGTACTAATATCCATTGCAACATTACTAAATTCTCTGTTTTGACAGTTCCTCCAGATTTACTAGAGTGCAAAGATTGTCCTGTGAAAGTCGAAGTCTTAGAAGTCACCAAGCAACATAAAAGTATTGCTGCAAAGGCCCTGGAGAAATTCAACAGTGAGAGCAACCACACAAGCTACTTCAATGTGGACAAAGTTGAAAAGATTTTAAAGATGGTAAGTGGCATTTTGTCCTAGAATTACATATAAACAACAAAATTTAGTGAGCAGCTCCAAAACCATGGGACTAGAACTTAAACCCTTCTAGGATCAGAACTATTGCTTGTCACCTCACAGAGTAAATCATCTGCTTAAAATTGAAGATCTTACTTCTGCAAAGACTTGTTATCAACCTTAATTTAGGCATGTGAAAGCAAAAGAATTTCTCACCTGCTAAAATCTAGGGCAGTGTGATGGCATCCAAAATGTCAGAGCCTTCTTTGTGTGCTTTTCACTTCATTTTTATTTTTATTTGAATGCCTATTTACCTATCATATCATAATATATAAGAGTTTATTTACTACTGCCCAGAGCTCTTCAAGATGTACAGTTGTGTATTATCACAGTCATACATTCTGTCAACTGAAGTCAGATAATTTTTTACTCTTATAATATTTAGCACACGGGTACAACACAAAGTGGAACACGCTCAGCATCATTTCTGACGCTCTGAAGGATAGTAGGCAAATTTGTATTTGTGTTGTACCTCCTGAAGAACTACTGGTTCTGGATAAATCCATCTTGGAGTGATGTTGACATGAAAACTTATCCTTTGGGTGATTTGAAGTATAACTCTCACATCACCACAATTTCTTGTTGGTAGATTCTGGAGACCTAGCACAGGATCATTCTGCCAACACGTGTCAGTTCAGGACCCCTCTGTAATGAGGTCCCATGGCCCCTGCTATAATATATGTTGATCTTGGAAATTGCCTAAATTATAGCACGCCAACCCCACCTCTCTGCAGCTTTTAATATTACTCAGAAACTTGACAGTGTTCTACACTGTAGTCCTGTGCAGGATGTATCCCAACTATTAATCACAATTAAAAAATAAACCATAACATACATGGATTCACTTTTAACCAATTTAGTTAAACTAGTGAAACCTGTGTGCGCAGACATGCTACGAACGCCTTCAACACAGACTAAACTACACTATAGCTGGAAATTAAAATGAAACACCTCTTTATGGATTTTAGTAGGATCACACAGGCCTTCTCCCATCTTCTTATGGAGTAATGCCTTTGCCACTGACAACAGAGACAGCAACAATCTCACAGTAACTGGCAGAATTTCATCCCAGTTAACACCAGCGCTGCAGTACTATGCACTCCCATCACTGGAAAGGGGTGGCTGCTATCCAGTAGATCTCTCTATTTTCACAGGAGGAACAGTTCAGTTTAGGGAGAAGACTCTAAGGATGCTACTTCCTAAAAACACTGTCTGTAAAAGCAACAGGTTTGATAACACACACATACTAGACAAAGAAATGAAGCAACCATTCCTGGAACTCATAAAGGTGTGAGGCAAGTAAGGTATAAATTATCTGATATATTTCCCTTACTGAATATGCACGTATGTATGAACATTTGAACAGCACAGGTAATGAAAGCATGAGGTGGACAAGATTTTGACAACACTATGAAGTAGGGTTGTTTTTAAAATTACGAGACTTAAAATACATCTAGTTACCACCTATTGTTTGACCTCTTGGTTTCAGACTGCCTCCCGTGAAGGTCACATTTTAGGATTTTCTATAAAAGAGACCAACTGTTCGAAATCCATACAACAAGCAGATCCGGCATTGGAATGTGATTTTCTGGATGACTGGCACGCTGTAAGTAGAGTATTAGCATGAGAACTGACACAATGGGTGGCACCAGAAAGATCTTCCCACAGTATTTCCAAGCGTTTCTTATAAGCATGCACCTAAACTCAAAATTAAAAAGCCAGCATGTCCATGCCCAGATCCTAATTTTACAGCTCTTTTTATTCTATCAGGAGCCAATATGAACTCTAATCTAAATGTAACTGGATTCTGGCATATGACTGACCTAGAGCTGAGCTCTTCAGTTTGGATCTGGCTTTCACATTCAAATTGTAGCCACTCCCTAGTAAATCATTCATGCTATTTCCATAAAAACTTTAACACTAACATGAGTCATAGATTTTGAAAAAAATACATGTATTATGTCATTCCAGTGAGCCCAGGGTTACTTTTTTCCCTCTGCTGCAGAGGAATGGAGAGTGGAATAATTCAGGCTTGCCTGCACATTACTATCAAAGTATTCCCCTCACCCCACCTCTTCCCATTACAATAATAGTTTACACCAAAGAAACAACTAGGCAAGATAAGAATTTCAGAATAAATTATTCCCCAGATATTAAATTGAAGGAATGAAATAAAAATATGGAGAAAATAACACATGTAGAACTTCCATTTTCTTCTCTGGCTCTTTATACTCCAGAAGACTGGACAAGGTTGTGAATGAACTGGTAGTGGAGCCAAAAGTTCACTAGGATGAAGGACAAGCCAGCTAGCTAGTGGTTTTGAATTCTGTTCTCAAAGCTGCCACCATTGGTGTGTGTGTAAAATGCTATTAACTGTTGTAATCACTGATCATAATAGGCTACTAATGGCTCAACTATATATCAAGATACAGCATCCAGCACAGAGAGCACACACAGAACCCCTTACCCAAGTTCTGTGCCCTTTCACATGAGCAATTCCACACACAAGGACTGGACAGCAGGTGGAAGTCACAGCAAACAGGATGCTAAGGGAAGAAATGCTAAAAGATTACAACAAATTACTTTTCAATAAATAAATATGGAAGAAAGCTCTACCTTGAGTTTTGTCTGAAACAGCATGGCTACACAGTCTCTGTTTTTGAGGACTTTGAGCAAAATTTCAGAATAGCCCAATCTGAACAGATGGTTGACAAGCAAAGACAGAAACAAAGGAATAAAAATCAGTCACCCACAGGATACTTGCTTTGGAGACATCAGTAGCTGACCAATTTCTTACAGACAGCAAAAGTGAAGTAAGATTGAGAGTGGTAGTCCTCTAGATGCATATGGTGAAGTGGTCTACACAGTCAAGAACTCTCAAAAATGGCATGTATTTTAATCATGATTAATCACTGGCAAGCATCACTGGTCAGAAAGCTCAGGATCTAGCTAAGTTGTGTAAACATACTTAGGTACTGAAGGAACTAGCCTAACTTCTAAAATGTTGAACTTCCAGTAGCTTCTATTAACTCCACCACAAGAACCAGATACGCATTGGTTTTGGGTTTTTTTTCCATTTTCTTTTGCTTAGACACGTGGGATTCTGCAAAGCAAGAGTTATCAGTGATCCAGATGAACCAGATGGAACAGACATAAGCTGTGAAATCTACCCTCCCTGGGTATGTACCCACTTACTGAAATGGCTCTGGCTATGGCCTCATGCAGGCTACAACAACCTCAGTCCAAAGTGACGATTACAACAGTTATTTATGTCCCTTTATTATTGCCTGGGTGTGATGTAGCATGTGAGGACAGCCTGGCTTTCGACTGCTAGGTCAATCAGAAGATGAATTAGAATTCATCTAAGGGTATCTTCTCTCAGTCCAGTCATACTCCTTAGTTAAAGTGGGTAGAGACTGACAAGCAAGTTCACACGAATTTTAGAAAGCAAGAGGAGGGGAGATGATCTTATTTGAACATATTTGGTATTTCAGTTTATATTACAACAGCTACTCCAGTGTGGTGTTTATTTTGTTTTGATCCATCACAAATTTTGCTCAGTTGGTTATATAACTTCATTTTTGCCATGGTGCAGTATTTCCAGATTATTTTCAGTCATTTGGCATTTATCATCTGCTCCTTCTTTTCTGCCTTGAAAAAAACACAGTTTTTTTCCATCACTGATCACTGGAACTGTAAAGGCAAACCTACTAACTCCCACCTCTCTCTTTTTCACCACTTTCTTCTGTCCTATTAACATCTCACTTAATACTTCCTCCTCTGGTGTTTTTCTAAACAGCGGCACGACTATGGGCAAAGATGCAGACATTCACCTCTGGGACACCCACACAGACATCCCCATCTCCATCATCACCGACATCGTCACAGACACCATCACAAGCATCATTACAGGCACAGATGTCCACCTCCTTCTCAACCCAGACCTGAAGACCCCGAGCATAGCCATAGCTTCAACAAAGAATATCAAGACAACCATGAAGGACCTGCTCATCCTCCACCCCCCCACGGTGAACCACATCACCACCTTCACCCTCCACACCATTGTCCTCCACCCCCTCCCCATTGTGGACCACATGACTACCCTCCTCCTGCTCCCCATGATGAACCACATCATCCTCCTCCATCCCAAGAGGAATTACATAATCTCCCTTCTTCTCCTCCTCCCCATGATGAACCACACAATCCTCCTCCTGGTCCCCCTCCTCATGGACCACACTGTCCTCCCCCTCCTCATGGACCACATCACCACCATCATCCTCCCCATCATGGACCACTCTGTCCTTTTCCTCCTCATGGACTAAAACACCACTATCCTCCTCCCCATTGTGGGCCACACTGTCCTCCTCCCCCTCCTCATGGACCACATCACCACCCTCCTAATCCTCCCCATGATAGACCACATCCTCCTACCCAAGAGGAACCAGATCAGCCTCCTTCTGCTCCTCCTCCCCATGATGAACCACACGAT